ATACAATTTTTTTTAATAGTTATACTGAAATAATCGAAAAACTTCAATTTCATGACATTAGGGTGGTACGTTAGGGTGATAAGAACCGACATCTGGCTAAGTACTAGAACGCACAGTGGGAGAAATAACGAAAAAAGTTGGACAATATTCAACATGAAGGGTATTCACGATCCATTGCATACTGTCTAGCAAGGTGCATAGATAGCGTAAATAGCATGATTGGCTAATTTTGTTGTTGTTTGAACACTAGTGGATGAAAAAGTTAAGGCACACCTTTTTTGTATCTTATTCACTAGAGCAGTTTGAATTTGCTATTCTCACTAAAAATTGTGCTGCTTTTCTCATTGGCTCTAAAATTGTCCTTCGGAAATTTTATTTAAAAATAGTGGTTAAAGCACTTAATTATTTTTTTGCGAGATAGAGAGCGTTTCTGACGGTATCTCAAATGATCCAAGTCATTAAATTTAAATTTTTGACACAAGTAATTATATCTAAAAATTTTTTGTAATAGCTGTCTCAAAAAAATAATATATATAAGTATATAAGAATATTTTTGATTTGATTGTTGAAAAAGTTGTGATCGCGAGAGATCGGGCTATTCTAATAACAAAACCAACGTACTTCAAGTATGCAAAAAGAAGGTGTACAGATTCGTCCGAGTTCTGTTGTAATTCACGATTAAATAGCGCGATAAAATAATAACAGTGCTCATTGTGTTGTGTGGAAAACTTACACATGGCAACACCCATTTTGGTGCGGCAAATGTTAAAGCTGTTTTGGATAGCCTTTCTTGTGCTGATTACAAATCCGTAAGTATAAAGTTTCGATCAGGTCAGGATTTTGAGAAAAACGAGGTCAAAGTGTCAAAAAATACTGCGATTTTTGCAATATTTTAGGAGCTCTAGAAAAGAAAGAAAACGTGATAAAACCTCTCACTTAGGCTTAAATTAAATCTAGAAATCTCGGCTACTGTCGCTGAAAATACCATCCCTGCACCTTAATCTGATGGTCACTTATAGTCATATTTGTGGAACGGGGTACTTGAAGTCAATGAACTTTGAAAAAAAACAAAAAAAAAACAAATACTTTAGAACCCGACTATAACGAACGAACGAATTGGTTTTTTCTGGTACGGTCTAATGTACAAGTATGCATACATACATAAGTGCATAGATATGCGCAATACATATATATATATATGTATATATAAATGTATGTATGTTCTTAAATATTTCAACCTTAAGCATAGAGCCAGCAATGCGGCCGAAGGAGAACGCATAAATGGTAGTAGTGGCAGCGGTCTAAACTTTGCTCTTCCATCAGAGATCTTAGATTTGGCTAAAAACTTTGGTTTTATTGATAATAGACTTGGGACAACGTGTTGAAGGGGCGAAGAAGTTTAAGTCATCAAGTAAATTTTTCCTCTCTACAAAGAAATGGTAATAAATATTTCACAATAGAGCATCGCTAAGTATGTACTCGTATACATGCACATAAATACCGTGTTCTTGTGCGTATTTTACTTGTTTGCTGTGCAATTTAAATTTGCTGCAAATAGTTTAAAAAATTTAACAAGATGAATTTTTATTTCTGCTTTTTTTGTCTTAAATTTTCACTAGAAGAAATTTGTCTAAAATGTCTTTGAGACTGATTCTGAGTACATATCACTACTATGGTTTAAGATGAATGGCAAAAAATCGTACCTTTTTCTCACGATGGACTATGTCCTAGGATTACGAGATCTTAACGGGAATTACTTTGGCAAATATTGGTTGTCGGGAGTCTTTCGGTCTCATGCGCAAATCTGTGTAGCTCCGAGCATCCTGAGGGAAGAACTATATTTGTCTGCACTGAAGATACTGGCTGCCTTAGTTTGGAAAACGACAGAAATCCAGAATGCTTTTCGTGCTCGTAATTCTGGTTTAGTAGCCAGTTGCCGGCAAGTGAAAAATCACAGGAGGGTGAGAAATTAGCAGTTGTGGCCATTCACGAAAAGTTAATGTACCACCGACAAAAATACCGGTAACAAAACAGATAAAGTTATAAAATTTTCGAATCAAAATTGATAAAAATATTGATAAAATGTCGAAAAAAGTAAATAAAAAATATCGATAACAAAATCGATAAAAAATATCGATAACAAAATCCATAACAATATCGATAACCAAATCGACAAAAATATCGCTAACAAAATCGATAAAAATACCGATAGCAAAATCGAACAAAATATCGATATCAAAATCAATAACAAAATCGAAATCAATAAAAATATCGATAAAAATATCCATAACAAAAAAGATAAAGTTATCGAAAACAAATTCGAAAAAAATGTAGATAGCAAAATCGATAACAATAAGGTTTTGCTGTGGGACCCCTATTCACTCCATATTCAGAACGCTCCGCATTTGGTTGGCTGGATCCCTTCTTGATTGAAAATTTAATTTTCCTTTCACAGACTAGATACAAAGACAAAAACAGAAAAATAAATAAATACTTTGACTCCCTACTCACTCCTTATTCGGAGCGCTCCGAAAACTCTCACTCGAGGTGTTGGTGTGCGAGTCCCTTATGAGTCGTTGAGAGCGTTCGGCTTTTGGCTAGCTGGTCTGTGGCTGAATGCTTGGGTTTGTCTTCTATAAAAAAAAACGTATACAATTAGAATCACCAACAAGCTACTCAGCTACTGGTAATCCATTAAAAGATTCGGGCTAGGTTAGTTGGGCTGTAGACCATAGCAGAACAAAAGTTTGCCGCACACCCCTGAGTATGAAGTATATTTGCAAAGTAATTTCGAATTTTTATTTTTTTTTTGCCGAATTTAGGGTTGGGCTTTTAATCTTTTTCTCGTCATATCTTCAGCATTTACAATCGTATCATAAAGTATGACGTATTGATGGTTATGCCCCGAGGAAGCAATGTTTTCATTCCAAGTTCATTGACCTCAAATAGCACGTTCTAGTACTTCCCCACTAGATCTTCCTAACACCCTAAAATACCACCCTAATGCCAGTAATTTACAACTAAACAAAAAATATTAAACTTTTGCTAAGGAAGTATTTTGACTATTCCAGTAGAACTATTAAAAAAAAAACTAGTGAACCCGCATGGCGTTAAAACACCCAAAATTGTATTTCCAAAACTTAAAAACTATTCCAAATGTTAGTCAGAGTTATAGAAGAACAGTCTATTTTAATTTCGTCAAATTTCAAATCACCCAATACCGAGGAAAAAAGCTCTTAATTAAAAAACTAAAACTTTATCACCTACAGGCTAAGGTCTTTGATTTGACCTCTCATTTTTGAAATTGAATAATTTGAATGTAACTTTTTAAACACGTGGCAACCCTCTTCTAACATTCCAAATAATCAAACTTAAGATTTCTTAACATTCTTTCCTTTGACTATGGTATTTTTATATTTCATATACATACTGTTTTTTTATTAGTCAATTGAGTTGGACCTTTCAAATAGGATGCAGCCTCCTTCAAAAGGATTTTCAAGCTTAATCCTTGTTAACTCCCCTTCGCCGGATATTACGATACATATTTTAATTAACTGATGAATTAAGTGGAATGTGATTTTTCAAACATGTGGCAACCCCGCTAAATACAGTTCAGAAATAAAAAAATTTTCAAACCCCCTTCGATTGATATTTATTAATTATTTATTTAACTTATTAAATAACTTGAATTAATTTATATAAACAGGTGGCAACCCTCTTTGAACACATCAAAAATATTCTTAGCATTCAAACTAAATATTTCTTAACACCCCTTCGTTTCACATTCATATTTTGATATGTCATATAACGTGTATATAAGTAAACTAAATTCCACATTTAAGTCAGGTGGCAACCCTCTACAAAATATTTCAAAAAACTACCCGCTGAAACCCCTTCGATTGGCACCCATATGGCGATATGTACATATTTCTCTTACCTAATATGATTTTGTAAACCAGGCAGTAACCGTCCTATAGTTCAGCTAAGACACAAAGCTTTTCAAAACTATTTCGATTGATACCTATTTGGTAATAATTGATTTATTTTTTTTTTTAATAATCTGAATATAATTTTTTAAAAGGTGGCAACTCTTTTCAAAAATGTAAAATCTTATTGCACATCTACAGTCCCAGGCTTTTAATCTGACACCTCATTTCTGCAGATCGAACGAACGGTGCGGACATGATGGCATTGATTATTACGTAATTTTAGTCGAATTGTTTAACATGTGGCAACTCTTTTCGAAAAACTAAAATGAGTTTGCACATCTACAGACCAAATGCTTTAATTTGTCCTGGACAAAAAACCCTTAGCGTATTATATATATAGATTGTTGTTGCCGAATGTACATACATAGGTGTCACCAAAAACTGTAAAAGCCGGTCTATAGTTTCGACACTAAAATTTCATTTTTTTTCAAAATTTGCTAGCAAAAATACTTTAGTCTCAGAGGTGTAGGACGAACTTTTATTGTTTACTTGTAAGGTGTAACGGTCTATTGGGCAGCCTTAAGTAGAGTTCTTGACGACTCGCAGATCTTCATTATAAAGTACATCTGGTAAAATTTTCGAAACTTTTACGAATTCAGTCTTTGCATAGATTAATCAGCTCTTCGAGCAAAACGTATTCACCTATCTTTCAGTTATCCTTTCACATCTCGTAGTAGCTACCGACTTCGTGTTTTTGTGGCTCCAAACACGGACGGCGCGGCGTTTGAGCTTGTATGCTTCCGCAGCAGCCCATAAAATAAACTACACAAAAAAAGGTTTCTGGCACATAGTGTAGTTAATCTAATTTTGTTTCCACTATAAACAACTATCGCACAAAAGTTGCTACATAAATTTTTACATTTTACTATGTTATGGTGCTAAATCAAATTAAAAACCAGCAAATTAATTTAAATACTTTCTAATTAACTTTTATTATTATTACTTTGTCCATTTACATAGTAGTAACTAGACAACTTTGGCTGTGGCATAGTTTCGTACATAGTTGAGAATTTAGAGGAAAATTGCTGCTGCCGCTGCTGGAGCGGCATAATGGATGGATGGAGCTGGCAGTGGTGCAACTAAGGGTGTGGCAAGCCGTGCGATGGGAGCAGGAGCAGCTAGGAGCGGAGCAGCAGCAATACCGTTATATTGCCGAGCAATCACTTGGCTACTGGTGGCTGTAATGACTGGCGCTGCAGCGGCCAAAGCCACTGGAGCTGCAGCGAGCTGTGGTGCATGCAGGATGGCAGGCTTTGCTGTGACGCAAGCAACGATGGCAAAAATGACAATAGCCTGAAAAAAAAATTTTGATATCCATTAACACTGAAAGTGAATGCTTTTGGGCGTTGTCCTTCAAGGAACTTACGTATTTGAACATTTTGTAATTACTTAGCGATATAGTGCGGTAATTGTATTGCTGCTGTACGCGACTAACTGTATCGCACTCAATGTACGAGTAAAGTTTGTTTTGATTGCACAATGACAGACAATTTAATTCTGTTTTGAAGCGGGCAAGTGGCTTTTAATTTATTTCGCATCAGCTAGTTTGCTTACTCCTAATACATATAACTTATAGATTCTTTCACTAATTTGCATTAGATTATGTATGCTTTTAACGGTAATGTTATAGGAAAAAAAAATTAATAACTAACTATTGCTGTATTGCATACTAGGGTGGTTCAAAAAGTAAAGTCGGAAGATTAATGCTCTCTCAGATTTCTTATTCGTCCCCGCATTGCATTTGGGTTTTTTGGCGGACCTATAAAATATAGTTACTACGAAAAAATTTCTTGAAGAGAAACAGAGTTTTCCGATCGAAAAATATTGATTTAAAAAAATTCTATACCATTTCTACGAAAAGTTGTTTATTTTCCCATATAAAATTCATGGAAAACCTTAAACGCTCGAGCCACCTCTAAATATTTTTAGATTAAAAAAAATTAGGGATATTTTTTTCGGTATATAACAATCCTAGGGTGTGATAGCATAAATATTTCGATTATACTTTTTCATATGCATTTTTGGACCACCCTAGCGCATACATATGTAATTCTCTTGTAACTGACCAATGTCAACAAATCCGCCCGCTTTAAGTAGGTTTGCCT